TTGTTTCCATCAAAATTCAACTTGGCTTCTGGTAAATCCCACTTCTGACACCAAATGTACCGTGGATGGCCGGGTATCAAACTCTTTCTTCAGCTTCCAACTTTTATTCACCTCGGTATAACTTTAAATGCGGAACAGCTAGTGAATATTTTTTAAATGTTTTTTTGTAAAGGTAACACTTTCAGCAATCGAGCTCGGATTTGCCGGTGTTTCTTGGCCGAGATTGCACGGGAATTATCACGGATTTAGGCAGGAAAGTGCAACGGCTTGAATTGGGCGACGAAGTTTGGGTGACGATCCCGTTCTGGTCTCAAGGCACTTTATGCCAAACCATCCTGATTTCAGAGCATCGGGTAGGCGTGTGATTTTTCAAAAACCTCAACCCTCAATCGCTATTAATTCATTGGCAGGTTGCGAGAAAACCGAAAAATGTGGGCTTTGAAGGGGCCTGCAGCGTTCCTTATGCGGGCAGTCTGGCTCTTTCAGTGCTGTCCGAAGCGAAAATCGATCTGAATAGCGCCGCTAACAAAAGGTGAGGATGAACCGCTTAATTGTCCCGAAAACCCATTTTCAATGTATTAAAGGTTTCTGATTCAAGACGGTTGTACGCCTGTGGGATGCGTGCTGATCCAATTGTTGAATAGCTGGAAAGCCCACATTACGACCACTTGCCATAAAAGGGCCGTGCCGGTGGCCAAAGCTTTAGGCGCTAGAGAAGTTATCAGCATTGACGCCCCTTCGTTGAGTAAGTCATTCATTTAGTTTCTTTCAACCCATAATGCGAACTGTTTTTTGGGGTTTAGGCGATGAAGATCATGTGGAAGAATTCTCGGATACCGAGAATTTCTCAAAAACCGTGCTCAAAGAGCTGCAACTAAAAGGCGAAGTATTCGACTTTATCATTGTCACCCGAAACGAGAAGTGAGTAGTGGAAAAGTAGGCTCTTGAGCCGCACATTTGGACTGTTGAAAATTTCGACCACGGTGTTGCTTTTTTATAGCTTGAACTGGGAAAGCCTGAGAAACTTTTGCGCAGGAGAAGGCAAACTGTTATCAACACTGCCCGAGAAGCTCTCATCGGACTCCTATGGGTTCTTAGCCAGATTCATTTTTTCAACTTACATTCGGCTCAAATTCCTAATGGGGGTAAGCAAAAAATCGACAAGTCGTATTTATTATAAAATTACAAGCATCGGCTTGTTTCGCGCCTTTTGCTAGCTAAAAATGCCATCAAAACTTACCTGTTTATGGACGGGAAACGTTTCTTTTTCAGCATATTCTGGGTGTTCCGAGCAACAACTACGACGAGGCCCATTTATGCCACGCGACTTTGGACAAACTAACCGCATTAGTGGAGGATGGGGTGCTGCAAACGGTGGTAGACAAAGTATTTCACCCTAAAGATATCGAAGTGGCTCTAAATTACATTCAGTCGTCGCAATCCATTGGCAGTTCAGTCATCACGTTCCGGTAACGAATTCTCCATTGTTTCACTTCAATTCGTAGGCAAATGATTTATTTTTGATACGACCCCTTCATTGGCAAGACTGAAATAGTGAAGCCTATAAAAGATCAGAACGAATATTGTAGATTATTGTCTCACACACACAAAGCCAAATATACAAGTGGTGCTAACCGTCGATTTAGTTAATTAGTCACTTTATTATATTATTGAAGAAATAAATACTGTTTGCTAAAAAAATAGATAACCAGTGTTTTGTTGTCAAAAAAAAACCATCCACATATTTTAAACATACGTTTATTAAATGATTTTATTCAAAACAAATCTTTAGAAGGAAACAACTATAATATAGATATAGCCGGCGTAAATGAAAAAGCAACGTTTTGCTGCCTCCCAATTAGCTGCACTCACTCTAAATATTTACAATGCTTGTAAATATACATAATTACGTTACATTAATACTGTGGCTAGTTGGGTGGCAGGAAAACGCAATTATAATACCGTGAAAATATTGTATATAATATAAAAAGAGTAAATACTTAAGTTATTAGTACACAAAAGCTAATCTTAAAATAGTTAAGGTAGTAAGTTGCTGTCGAGGACGAGCACTATCGGTGAAAAAGTCGCCTGAACCAAAGTGTTTTCAGTGAAATTTTCGCCATTAGTGAAAGTAAAAAAACGAAAGAATGGGCCCTTAATTACGTTCAATGTCATGGGTAAAGACTTAGTGTCAAATACATACACTGCTCTCTTAAATATCTATTTTTTTAAATTCTACACTCTGAACACAGCACTACCTCAAACTAGGTACTCTCAAAGGTTAGGTGTTGGTACATAAAACACTTATTGTCGCGATCAATCGGACTTAAGTGAAGGATTTCGGGTCCCAAACGTTTCCTTACAGTTTGTCAGTTAAGCTTAGTTCATACAATAAATCGAAAGAATCTGGAATGTAGTTAGTTTGCCATTATTATGCATAGTTAGAGATGTAAATTTTGAACACATACCTGCCTGTTATCTTCGTTTGTGAGATTCAATATCTACGACAAATATTTAAAGCACCTCTGGCTGAATTACACATGAATAAAATAAATAAATAATACATAAAATCCCGTTCTAAACAACACAAATTTTACTGGTTTTCGAAACGGGTCTACATAAAAAACCGATAAACTCCTCCAATGCAAATGGGTTAAACAACGTATGACCTTACATCGAAAGCTTATGGAAAGGAGATTTAATGGTGCTTGTGATGACGTGAGATCGTGCATCCCACTGCTTTAAAAACTTAAAACTACTAATAAACTCTTAAAATCTTCATAATATACAAAAGCTAGCTTTTTATGCAGAAAACGCTTTTTTAAGCTGCGGAAAAATCGTTTTGTCTTGGACATCTGCAATACAAAACACCGTCTTATATTCAGCGCCATTAGTGGTCTAAAATCGCCGGTTATTATCTAGAAATGTCCAAAACCAAAGGGGGCAGATCTAGATAACTACCAAAATCCTCGCTTGCTTACCTTAAGAAATATCCATCTATTGCTGCTGCGCGGCTTGTTGCTGGATTTCGATTTTTTCCACCGTCATATCGGGATTCATGGCAGTGGCTTCTTGAATCGCTTCGGCCAGGGCTCGATCATGATCAATCGGGTCCCCATCCGATTGGATGGTAATCTTCTGTTCCACCCTCGTTTCAACCACTCCATCGCGTTCAGTTTTATACTGCAACATCAATCATAGACTAAGCTAAATTAAACTCAATAGATTTGATTCGTGAATACATGCGTTCTTTCTTCACTAAACAGTTGAAAATACCCTAAAGCCTGTGTCCCATGCATCCGTTTATACGATGGTACGTAATAATTTTTGTTGATAGTGATGAGCAGACAACGACTGCATGGTCTTGGTCTTGCAAGGCTTAATAATAATTCTTCGTTCGCAAGCATTGAGGAATTTTACTGTTTACACTTCGACTTATTTCCGGGCTCTCCCAAGGGACTTTGGGAAAAGAATTAAAGTGAATACTGGAAACTGTTTAGCGAATTTATTTGCTACTTGAGTTTTTACTTTTTTATGTAATGTGCATAAAACGCACGTATTTGTTATTAACTTATCTACACCTTCAGGGCAAAAATTTAAAAGTATTTGAACAAATTTGGCACCGCAGTGTGCCACTTGTCCAAAGCTTTGGTCCCTAATTTTATATTTTTTCACTTCAAGTGAATCATTGGTATGTTAAGGGCTTCTTTTGAAGACCAAGACCAGTCTCGCTCATCACTACTTAAAGAGTCTTTTGCACTGTTAAATAAATAAGTCGTCATTTTAGTTAAGAACGAAACGACGAAATTTTTGGGAGATGGAGTGAGTTTTAAAGCAAAACTGATCGGCATTTTGGAAGTGTCTGAAGCTAGAGGTGATAGAATGTGCCAAGAGGCA